ATCCTCCGTCCCTGCATCTTCCAGGAGAGCATCCCAGGTTCAGTTCAAGGGGTGAACGCTGGCCGAAGTACCTTTGCGAGAGCTGCTGATCAGGTTCAAGAGCTCGTCTTCCGTCAAAGTCTTGATCCTGCATGCCATCTCATTCCTCATCCTGCATGTCTCGTTGTTCTCACGTTCCCATCTCCCGGATTTTCTTCATCTTCGTCTCTCCCGCCTCCTCCCCTACTAGCGCATGGGTGACCTTCCCGCTGACCGCCGACACGACCTTCCCCCCATGAGTCTGCCAGCATGTCAACTGTGAAGGCGAGCAGGACAGCAAAGAGCCCCTCCTCACTTGGATCAGATGCGCAGCCTCCTCTCGCTCCAGCGAGTCCAGCACCCCCGATATCACGAACTGCATCCCTTTGAGACAGTCGGGGTCCCCGGTCGGGATGGGTTTCGTGCCATAGTGAGGAGGAGGCTTGCGATTCACGTAGAAGAAGCCCCCAGCTGTCTTTGCCTTCTTCGCTTTGCTGCCTTCTGCCTCTCCCTGCATTTCTCTCTTCCCCGATGCTCCTTCTCGCCCTCCACCCTTGATCCTCATCATCGGACCTTGATTCATGGCGACGATGTCGCCTCTGGCACGGTGCATCTCGTACCTGAGCCTAACCATCCAGCAGCACGCCTCCCGCACGTCTCTAATCACTTCTCCTCCTTCCCGCCCCCATGGCCGCGGCGAAGGGGAGGAAACTGCCATGGCCATGGCCAGAACCAACACTGGCAATGCGGCCATTGAATTGAGAGATCTGAGCCCCCCTCAGAGAAAACAGCGGCCAAGGCCCCCGGGTCACGGTGAGCGGTGACGGACCTCCGACGGGTGCCGGCGGCCCGGGAGCACTGTGCCCGGGCCGCCAAGCTATCTAGTATTCGAACGATGTGGCTGAAAATCGGCCCGACGGTCGTGCTTGTACCGTGACGGTCTGGAACCGGGCGAGCTGAGTGGCGTGGCCCGGGCCGGGGGCCGACGGCGGGCCGCCGGCGGCCGGGGCCATCACGGCAGGGCCGCCGCGCCGCCTGGCATCGGCCCGGACAGTGTATGGCCGGCCCGGGCCTGATCAGTGGCCTAAGGGGCTGACACGCTCAGTCCGGCGGGTCAGCCCCTTAGTTCAAGTAACTCGGCGGTACGGTCACACACTGAGATTTAACTGTGGTCAACTTTAAGTTCGGAGCGGGCCGGGTAACTTGCGACTAGACGGGCGCGGCCCGCGGCCCCGCCGGGTCGGACGGCGGCACAGGCGTCACAGAGTCTGCGCCGCCGGCGCCGTCGGGCCACGCCGGAAAATGCATGCCACTGAGACTGGGAGGCGAAGATGTAGAAAGAGCAGGAGAGAGAGACAGTATCAACGAGCAGACAGAAGAGACGACTGGAGCTGCGACAGATCTGAGATCACTTTGTCGAGCCTCTGCACAGCCCATCTGACGCAAATGTCAGAACACGGGAGGAAGGAAGAACGAGCGGCAGGACTGCAGAAGAAGAATAAAGGAGGAAGGGAGGAGTGGAGGAGTGGAGCAATGGATATGTGGAGGAGTGGAGCAGGGAAGGAGAGGAGGTCAGGGTTGCATTGCCGGTCCTCGTTGTAGGTGTTCCTCAGTCTCTTCAGCCCGTCGATACACGGAGTGAGCTCCTTGCGAAGGTCGTTCACTACCTCATCGCGCGTCCTGCTGAGGGGGGGAGCATCAGGGCGGAGGCTGAGGGAGGGAGCGAAGACTGCGACCTGTGGAACTTGGTCTCTGCAAAGTTGTCGGTCGAGACCCCCACACCCTGGTGGACAAGACGAAGTGAGGAGGAGGAGGAGGAGGAGGAGGAGGAGGAGGAGGAGGAGGAGGCGCTGAAGCAGGAGCAGGAGCAGAAGCAGGGGCGGGGTCAAGAGCAGGAGACTTCACCGCTTGTAAGAGCGACTGGAAGCGCGAGAGGTCGCTGGCAAACCTTGAGAGCCATGCGAGCGTCTGCGTCCTTCCTTGCGACGAGAGCCACCGCGTGACGCTCCCGAACATCTGAGGAAAGGATCAGCTGTGCGTAAACTCCCTCCCCCAGCTTCACCCCAGCTGAATCGATGCGGACGGTGTCGCCGGCGATGACGAGCTTGTCTCCCTCCTTCACATCCGCCAGCAGCTTGAGATTCGCTCTCAGCACCTCCCACGAGGGGACCACCTGCTCTGCGTCAAACAGGAGGAGGAGGAGACCAGGAACCTCCTATCACCTGCTTCGGGGTCACGTACACGCAGTCGTCGTCGTCATCGTCACTGCATGTCGACGGCTGAGCCGCCTGCTGCTCCTCGTGCAGCATGCGATGGTCGAGATGATCGAGGGAGGACAGCCTCCCTAGCGGAGTGCTGTCATCGTCAGGCACTGCTCCAACATCAGAAGCGCAGAGTGGGATGCGGCCATCGACACCTTGACCACCAGTGTCTGCATGTGACTTGCCAGTCGATGCGGCAGGCTGCAGGAATTCCTGTTCCTCTCCTACTCCCCTCCTCGTCTCCACTGCATCCGATTCGTTCCGCACCTCGTCTTCGATGCTCTTGACCTCCTCTGAAAAGAAGACAGGGAGAGGAGAATTTGCAATCTTCTCATCGCTTTCCGACAACGAGTCTGTAGTTTCACTCTGATTCCCCGACGCTCTCAAGTCCATCTTGCTGACTGGGCTGCTTCCTGTCAAGATACAAGCTCAGACCCATAGACAGAGATGTTGTGTGGGATACCCTCCTCTTCCATGCTTCTGTTTCCCATGTGCTGCAAACTGCTTGCTACTTGCTGGGGTCCTCTCTCCTCAGATCTCGGACCAACTTCTCTGGCCCAGCGACTCGAGTCGACGTGCTCTGACTTTGCAAAGGTTTCTGCCCTGCCGGGCACGTAATTGTTCTTGAAGTTTGCAAGCTCGCGCTCCAGAAGCTTGTCGTAGGGTATCTTGCTTCCAGCAGTCCTGGAAGAGGGAAGATTCGAAACGTTGGAGACAAGTCCAAAGAAACATCGTCAGTACCGAGGATGGGAGGGGAGTAAAGGAGGTAGGGAGAGTCAGAGAGAGGAGGGTGGGAGGGAGGGTGGGAAGGAGCAAGGGAGCAAGGGAGCGAGCGAGGGAGATAGATAGGTTCATAGAGAGCGAGATCAACGAGCATACTTCTCGGTACAAGATGGCTGCTTGTGAATGTCGAGCTCCCCTTCCTCCTCGTTCCCCAACCCTTGCGCTCGGAGGATGATCTCTTTCGCACGGTTCAGCCTCATGGACCTGTGGGTGTATTCTTCCAGCTTGCCCTCCGGCGCCTTGTCTGGATGAAACTGCAGCATCAGCTCTCTGTGCCGCCTCTTCACGTCCTGCTCGCTAGGCCAGCAGTCAAGTCCCCAACCCAGGGCAGCGAACGCTTCGTCCAGTGTCATCTTGTGCGACATGCTCTCAACCTTCGCCTTCCGATCCTGTGCTTCTCCGGAGAGAAAAGGATCCATGACCAACCTGTCCCTCCCGTCTTTGACGTGCTACACCCACACCACCATGCTCGACGTCCACGGGAGTTTGTCCTTGCGGTAGATTCTATGAATCGCTCGAGCTATCGTCGTCCAACACGCTCCGTGTCACCTTCATCCCATCACGAGGGAGGAGTGCCAAGTACCCTTCATGATGTGCATGCCCAAACACCGACATCAAGACCTTCTCCGACTTGTCTGCGGCTCGCGCTCTCCTCCCCTCCCTACACGACGTGTCGCAACTCGACGTGAGGACTGTTATTGAGTTAGACGGGTGGGGTAGTTCACGTACCGGTGCTTTGTAGAAAAATCATCCTTCATTAGCAGGGTGGTACTCTTGTACTACCGGTGGCAGGGAATGCAAGGTTTGTAGGAGTGGGGCATTCCAAATTAGGTCAAATCGATTGCAACTTGAGAAGCAGAGCAGAGAAGAAAGCAGCTGATGAGAAAGAAGACATGACACTTGAAAAGCAGTGACATGTCATTCAGAGGCAAAGAAGACCGAAGCAGTCAGCAACCGCAGTGAACTTCAATTGAAGAAATTATTTAATGTACATTATCACCGCCACAGTCGAAATTCAATCATCATTGAAACACGAGCATACATGTGAAAAACTATGTGTTGGAAACCAGAAGCCGTTCCTGTTGTAGCTTGAAACCTTGCAGATACATGTTCAGAAACGACGGTGGAACTGCATGCGAAGGCTGCGGATTGGCAATAGCTGGTACGATAGGCGGCTGGTCGAACAACGAAAGTGCATGTAGGTAGAGACGGATTCCCGCAGACTGAGACTTGTCCTGAAGGAGCATACCTAACTCTGAATCCGAGGAGATGAGAATGTTGTCTCCATCCTCGTCGACGTAGCTGAGCTGCAAGGCACTTGTTGGAACGCCGAGGAGTTCTTCTCGATAGGCATTTCGCAGCCCAGTCATGATCATCTCGTAACCTTGAACAGGATTCCCAAAGTGATCGAACTCAAAGTTCCACTTCAGCCGCCTGAACACAGCTTGCTTGCCTGGTTGTGTGAGAGACACTTTGAACTTCAGCTCTCGACTCTTTGCCGGGTTACAAGACCGTGGCAAAACGTCTGAGTTGGGCATCACGTGAGTGTGAGCGAGGGTCTCTAAAGGCGTCGAGGCAACACTGCTTGATTCGATGTTGAGACGACCCTCCTTGCTTGGCTTGGAAAGACCATGTCGCTTGATGAAACGAGAGTACCAGCCGTGAGTTGCTTTGAAGTCCGTCATGCCCATTTCGGTCGCTACTTCAGCAGCACATTTGCATATCTGAGCTCTGCATCCCAAGCCAAGGCCAGCTTCAACAATGTATTGATGGATGCGCTTTTCCAGCTCAAGGTGCTTTTGGGCTGGAGAGTATCGCTTAATTCCTGCGTGAACGCCCGTATCCGAAATTTGTTTCAATTTCGAGACGTTCTCAGCTTTGAGAATCTTTGATATTGCTGACCTACTCTTCCCAAACATCGTTGCGAGCTGGGCCTGGGTCATGAAGATTGCAGGGTTTGTTGAAGTGTGCCGCTTGATTATTTCCATCTTCTCCCCGAGGGTCAACTTGTTCTTGTTCATACACGCTTTCCTGTGCTGTAGGCGCTCTGCAGTGGTCCATACTCTAGCACGTCTCGACACATTTCCGTTATCATTCGATGCAGATTCGTTCGAATCAGTCTCACTAACATTTTCGGCATCGTCCTGCACGCACGGCCTTTGAGCCACTGGAGTTGCGTATTGCAGAGAAGGTTGAAAGTTTCCAAGGCCACACGGCACAGGCAGAGGATCGTACTTGTTCATCGGAAAGAGACGTCGAGCTGTTAAAACACAAAGTGTGAGCAAAAGTGAAATGTCGGTAAAACAACCGTGAGCCAACAGCAGAATTCCAAAACAACCACAGAATCAGCCCTTCTTCTTGTGCATTCAAGTATTGATTTCAAACACACTTGGGCTTTTGCCAACCGGCCTTCATATACAACAATGGACATTCCACGATGAGGGAAACAGCGCAGCAAAGAGTATGTCGCAGAGGTTATCAAGAGATGCGGGAGAAGGATCAATTTCACATTATCATCCTGCAATCCGCTTCACAGCAACGTCACTGCCCTGCAACGCAGGCGGGGCCTGCTTGCTGGGCAACAGAGCGGAAATGGAAGGAAGAAAGAAGGAAGCAACGAAGAAGAAGGGAAGCATACAGACACGGTGATCCCAAAACAAGCATCAACCATGGAAGAGGAGGAGGGCTAGCGGGTACATGTTGCGGGGACGCGCTCTTACCTTCCTCCTGCATCATCTTGCGCAATCAGACGGCACAGTGTTGTGTTGGTGTGTTGTTAATTTTAACGCCACCCTACCCTGGGTCCCCTACCCCACCCTACTATGGAAGTGAACTCTTTGATTTCAACTTGTGATCACCCCTGCGTTCCACAGCACTGTACCCCTTGATTTTGAAAATCTTTACCACCCAACCATTCGTGACGTGTACCTGCACGATGTGGTCTCCCACCCTACCAACTAGGTGCATTTCTGTCACGGGAATCGCCGAATCGAAGGGGTGGGGTCCTTGAGTACTTCCCCCACCCTTCCTCCTAAACTCAACTCTCGACAGCTCGCAAAAAGTCCCCTGCTCAGGACGCAATCCCTGGTCAACGCTGGTATACACCCTACCTACTATATTTTATAAGTGATGTACTAGGATAAATCAACATACCCTCACGGCAATACAAAGGCACCAAAGCCCCATTTGACTTTCCTATCCCAACCGAATCCACCCCACCCTTGCAACACATTCTGTCCCTAGCAGCCGTGGTTGTACCAAACCAGTGCACCAAGGACCCATAATATTTTGCTAAAAAGAACCCGTACTTGATGGAATCAAGTGATCTACCCCTCCGCCTTTATGTCACCAGACAACGCTCAAGTTTACTACTGGTAACAAGAGGATGTCACGACCCCCTACCACCGGTATGATTACCTTTACTTTCTGCTGATAACCACCCCTAGTGAAAGGCGTCAGGGCAGGCTCCCTACAATTGACAAAGCTTACCCGTCGTGACACAGGGGGTGGGGTGCTACTTCGGTATGCCCGATCCACTCCCCATTCTGTGGGGTTCGTCGTGGCTTTTTTTTCGGTATGTACCCCCGTGAGACCATCAAACTACCCCACCATTTGAATGGAGTCCATTTCTGGCTTTGTGTGATACACCCTACCCCCTCCCAGTCCCCCAATGTCTCCTTAACGGGTCCACCTGGCATGCATCCCATCGGAGTTGACTTTCATTGTGATGGTTGAGTTAGAGCGCACCCCTAAATCAACAAGGATAAGTACCCGTTCTCTCTCACCAATCTCCTCCAGCTGCGCCGGAGGGATCAAGCTCCGTCCTCACCCCCACCCGGGTCATCCGATCACATGGATAGTACGAGGGGTACCCCCTCTCGGCAAGCTTACGTACGGTGTTACCACCCTTAAAAGTCAAGTAGTCGGTACCCCACCCCCCTTGGAGGATTCGAAGACGGGCCCCGAACCACAAACGGAAGTAGACAAATATTTTTGACGGGGGTGGGTGGAAAGAAGAATGATCAGGGGGTGGAGTGCGGTGATTGCAGCCCTTGTCGTGTCCCCATCCACCCCACCCCATCTCCTCGAGCGGACGCCAAAAACATGCATTTCACCCCACCCACCCCACACCCGGGGCCGTAAAATCAAAAGGCTATAAAACCTATTTTAGAGCCTGGGGGATGTCACGACCACTCTTCTATAATCGACCTGGTATCGCTGCTGACCCCAACCCCTCCAACCCTTTCTTTTGACCCCTCCTCGATCTCGCCAGGCACGGTTCATTGTTGTGACTTGTTTCTATGAAAGGTGCGCCTGTGCAAGGAATGCACCTGGTACCCCACCCACCCCTAGTGGCTTACTGGATATGTACCCGTACTTCTTCCTTGGAAATCATGATGATATCACCCCTCCATTCACAGCAGACACCCGTGGTGGTCTGACTCCTTCACAGTGACACAGGGTCAACTTGGGCGATGCCGCTGGAGAGGAGAGGAAGAGGACAGGTACAACTAGGAAGAGGAGAGAGGAGAAAGAACAGGGAAGAGCAAGGATAGAAGCAGTGAGCCTCCGATGGAAGAGCAGAAAACGTCCGACCAGAGGGGAAAGCTGGAGTGGAACAAGAGAGTGGATCGGATGGGGTGGGGATGGGGGTGCCAGGGGAAAGAAGGTGAGGGACAGGGGCAAGAGGATGGAGAATAGGAAAGAAAGGGAGGATAAGACATAGAAGAGGAGGAAGAGAAAGAGCACATGTCAGCATTTGAGACATTAGGGCCTCACTAAGTCATGCTGTCCTGTTCAACGGTTTGCAACTCACTGAACTACGACCTACCCGATCATACCTCTCCTGTGCACAGCGAGAATCCTGTGCACAATGCTGCTTGCATCACTGAGTTGATTCTAGTTCTTCGTCTTCCCCAGATCCGAGTTTTGGCCAGCTGTTGCTGCGGCGCGCTAGAGACGAACCTCTTACTGCTGCATATGAAGCATGTCCATGAGGTCTTTGAGGGAAGGCTGTACGGCAGTAGAGGACATAGTCGGCACATCATCAATTGTCGGCTCGATGTCTTCTCGGCGTTCATATGTTCTCTGTCGAGTTTGAGCACTTGCTACTAGCCAGTGTTGTTACATAACCTTCGGGAATGAGAGAGAGAGAGAGAGAGAGAGAGAGAGAGAGAGAGAGAGAGAGAGAGAGAGAGAGAGAGAGAGAGAGAGAGAGAGAGAGAGAGAGAGAGAGAGAGAGAGAGAGAGAGAGAGAGAGAGAGAGAGAGAGAGAGAGAGAGAGAGAGAGAGAGAGAGAGAGAGAGAGAGAGAGAGAGAGAGAGAGAGAGAGGAGGGGAGGGGAGGGGAGGGGAGGGAGCACTGCTGCGTTTACTGGGACACAACGAGCTATGGCTACTGCTGTCGGCTAGGACAAAGGCCTATTGCCCCTACATGTGCTTTTCAAGTTTGTCAGAGCTCATAGGAACCGAGCCCGAGTCAGACAAAGGCCTATCAGGATGAAAGGACAGTTGGCTGTCTCGTTCTCGTGTTTGAAGCTGACTTCTCCTGGATGACCCAGGATACTCTACTCCAGTGTGAAGCTGCTGAAAGGACCCCTGTGGAGGTCTTTGTTGCAGCAACCGTGTACCCGTGGGGGACTTACAAGGTAAACAGAAGGGGTGCGTCTTGTGGAGTACGACCCGTTGGAAGCAGCTTGCTGCCATGCAAGGACGGGGTTCTCTTCCCTGCGAGAGAGCATGGTATCCTCTCGAAGGTCAGAAGGGATGCTTGTCAACTTCCAAGGACAGGACACCCCTCCTTTCTGTAGCCAAGAGACGGCACCCCTGGCTCATTCCTCGAAGCTATAAAAGGATGAAACTCGTCAGAGCTAGGTGGTCCTCTTCCCCTTTCGTGTGTGTTCACGATTGTGTGTGTGTGTGTGTGAAAGAAATAAAAGAGAGTTAGATCTCCTTCTGTTTCACCGCTTTCCCTCTTAGTAGAGAAATCCAACGTGAGTTCTTGTTGAACTGCGCTTGAAGGTCCACTCGAGAATCTTCGAGGTGTGACATAAATTGGTAGCAAGGTTGCGATCGGTGATAGCGATCGAGTCTTCTCTCTTCCCCTCCCTTTCTCCACTGTTTTGCTTCTTTCTACGCTGACGTCGCGTAGATGTCCGGATACAATACTCGACTCGCAGCTCGCATGCTGGACGAGAATGCTACGGATACTTTGGAACATGACTGACTGGCAATCTGCTGCCGGCGTTGACGACGATCTTACGGTCCTGAATCGACCGAGGATCGGTCTTTCCAAAACATGTCTGCCGCGCTGTTGGAGGTTCAGCAGCGCCTCAGTGCTCTCGGCGAAGGTCCCGCCTCCTCTGCGGCGGTCCCGCCCGCCGCTCTCAAGCTTTGAAGCCTGGACCGCCCCCCATCTCCTCGCGTGACGGTCCTCCGCTGGTCTCTCTGGCTGATCAGCCGCTCAATTGCTTGCTAAGTTGCGCAATCTCCCCAAGTTGGATACTGCCCGCCAAACTAGCGCCAACAATGTCCTGACATGGGTTCAAACCATTCAGTACTCCTTTGCGGTCTATGGTATTCCCCGAGCTAATTGGGTTGTCCATACCCTCGATTTACGGAGGCTGGATGCTCCCGTCCGCCAACACTTCGTGGCCAAGTACCCGCCAGAGACCTTTCGCCGCATGCCATCGGATTGGGACACTGTGACACGTTTTCGGAGGAAATTCGTGACATTAATCGAGCAACTTCAGCTCCTTCCGGATGGTAAATTATTTGCGACGTCCTCACTGGTCCGGGGGGTCTGCAAACGGTTCATTAATGGTGTCCGATCGCATATGACTGCTCTACTCTCAGTAAATCAGTGGGCCCTGACTTTACAGCGTTCGGATGATGTTGACTCAGTTCCGTCAGCTCAGGGAGTACGCGCTCAAGATCGACAATCAGACCAGAACCAAAGACCATTCGACGGGAGCAGATCCCCAGTGACCGGCAGCTCTACTCCGTGGCTGGTGGGCAATCGCTCCTCTACTTCCAATGATCGCAAGAGTCGTCCTTCTGCCCCCGGCCAGGATTCGGCCTTCAAAGAGCGCCGTGCTGCTCGGCAGGACGCCGGCCAGGGGTGCGGGAGACTCCTCGTCCCCACGCACATCGACCAATACCATCCGTTGTTACAACTGTGGCCCTGGACATCGAGGCTATGCGGCAAGCCCAGTGTTCAAAGTTGATCTTTCCCTGGCATGCGGACTGGAACACGCTCAGTCAGCCTCCTCCACCTGAGGATACTATCATGATGCCCTGGGTCATGGCGACCGTCTCCTCGCGGAGTCGCCTGTTTCTACCAGTTCGTTGGTCTCTCAGGTCGCCTCGTCGGACTCGCCGCTCGCAGCTCAGGCCTTGCAGGAGCTACTCGAGGATTTTTCCGATGTTCTGAACGGTAGACGAACTACCAATCCAGCCACTGGGCCTGTCTCGCGGGGGCAGTATGACGTTGTCCTTGCGAGGGAAGCGCTGGCGAACACGCCGGCTCGATAATTGTTGTTGTTGCAAACCTCGGTGATCACCGGGGAAAGGACTCCGCAATGTATCGGATCTCGAAATTTGCGAATTTCAAACTGCTGATTGAATAAACGCGCGTCGATCCAGACCAAATCACCAACTTGCTAGCGAAGCGGGCGGCGAGAAGGAAGTAGACGCGTCTCTGCTCGAGCATTCAAAGTGTATCCGAGAAAACTGATCTGCGTCTGAAGAAACACACACTTGCTCCGTTTAACGAAGACTCTGACCTGGTCAGGGTGGTGGCGGAGGCGCTCCAGTAGGAGACGCACCTGCTGTAGGTGCCACGGTGAACGAGGATTACCCATGGAGAAGAGTAAGACATCATCGACGTAGACTAAGACATTGGCCATACCTGCGAGAATGCCCTGTGAGAACAGCTCAGTGTGGCCGTTTTCAGACCAAAGGGCAGAGCGCGGAATTGGTAGGATCCTTGTTCAGTAACAAACCCAGTGTATTGAGAGTTGTCAGGAGTGAGAGCCAGCTGCCAGAACCCAGAGGCCATGTCTAGCTTGCTGAAGTAATGATAGGGTATCCGTACTGGACTGAGTACGCTGCGAGAGCACCCGCCCGATCCGTTAGGCGGAAAACTGTCGTCGAGGAGGTGATTGTGTTGCCAGGCTCCTCGATAATCAATACAAAAACGAAATTGAGGGACTCCTTCAGAGGAAAGACCTTTGCGAACAAAGATGACGGGACTCTGCCACATGACATCATTGTTCCGTTCAATGATGCCACGTGCCAACAAGAAGTCGATCGTTTTAGCGAGCTCCTCCTGGAGCGTCGCAGGAAGTCGGTAGGGACGACGCCGGACGAATTGGACGGACGTCATCAGGAACTGACCCGAACTTCGGATGGCCTCGGATCAAGATGTTTTTAATGCCAAGTTCCTACGCCCCCATGTGCGCAGGAACTTCGGAAAGATCATTTGCAACAGCCTGTGGTTTCCCAACCAGGCTGTGCCTGGATTCGGCGGCGAAGTGGCTCGCATCATCAATCATCCGATCAACGTAATGGTGCGAAGCAATATCTGGTTCGTTGGAAGGGATTTTCCTCCGCCGACGACACTTGGGAACCTGTTGCCCATCTCTCGCGTACACCGGCGCTCCGTCAGTTGCTTCAGACATATGAACAGCATCGCACGCGTCAGGATGCTTCTGCTTCGTCTCATGAGCAGCGGCAGCGTCGTGCGCCTCTCGATTAGGATTTTTACTTGCTGCGCCTGGAGCGTGCGACTTCGTTATGTTGTCGACACGCGATTTGAAGTTGCATGGCAGTCCATGGGCAAGATGAAAATTCGTTTCATTGGACCTTTCAAGATACAAGAGAAAGTTTCAGATAACTCTGTGCGCTTGGAGTTTACACCGCGTTTTCAACACATGAAGAAAACAGTTTTCAACGTGGCGAAACGTCGTCCTTACTATTTTCGAGATGTGTCCCTGGATGAAATTGAACCACCACCGTTGCCTTTGGTTCAACGCGATGGACAGTATTTTGAAGTCGATCGTATTTTGGCTCGTCGCGGGAAAGTCGGAAATCGTGTGCAGTACCCGGTTCGTTGGAAAGCCTCGGATATGACAAGTCCGATCATCGGATGATTCTTGGTTGTCTACGCGTGAATTTCGCACTCCGGCTCCAGAGTTAAGGAAAATGATTCGTGATTTCAATCTTGTGAATGCTAAATGATTCAGCGCTAGTAGGGAGCGAAATGATAGGATATAGTGGGCTCCGCCAGGCTCCGTGACTGAACGGTGGGGCAGTCCCGGGCCGATCCGCGGCGCGGCACTCACCGTGCCGCCCGCCGCCGCGGCGGGGGGGCCGCCGGCGTCACGCGGCTAGTCAGGTTATAGATATTTTTTGATCATTGTCGATATTTTTTTCAACTGTTCGCATACACCAACAATACTTTACTTAACTTTTTCCTGGTACAAATTATTTCAGCGCAATCTTCGACGCACGTATCCGGGAACGTCATCTTAGATAACTTGTATACTACCGGTCCTTGATTTTGCATGGAAAAGTACCCCGTACATTATATAACTATATCAAGTTGCGTGCTTAATAACTACTTTTATGAATTTTATTACTGCGCGCAACCCTATAACCCTAAAAGGACAGCAACAGATATATAGGGATTGCGCCATAAAAATTAATTGACGGATTCCGTCGGGATCTACGGTTTGCAAGCCCCTCATACAGCCCGCACATGCCCAGTTTTGGTCCGTCCGTATGAGGAGCTTACAAACCGTTGATCCCGACGGAATCCGTCACATTGAATTTGTAAGCTCCTCATACAGCCCGCACATGCCCAGTTTTGGACCACCCAAGCATGGGTGGTCGAGTTGTCGGGGTTGTAGTTGAAGGGTCGATTGACTCTTTAGGGGTGGGGTAGTTTTTATCGGATGTATCCAATACACCGGTAGTCGAGTCAGTTGCGGTGCTTTTTGGTGGATAAGACGCCAGCGCACTGCATCCATGGCCTGGTTGATGCGGAGTGAAGCCTCGGAGGTAGTAGTCTACTTACAAGTATGAGGAGGATGTTGTCTTTCTCAAGAGTCTTGGAGTACATGATCGTGCGAATTTTTATGTTGATCTTGTTGATCTTGTTGAAATGAGCGTTGGGAGTTCGAATATGATAGTTTGAATATGATTGGGAAATATGATCCTACAAGAGTATTGAGATTTTTCTTGGGTCTTTTGGATAGTTTCGATGACGAGCTAAGTGTTGAGACTCTTTTGAAGCTGGTTACTGTGGAATGTTTCGATCGTTCTCTTGTGATTGTTGGTGCTGAGATTCTGACGCGGCTTGTGAGATTCTGGTTCAAGTATCTTGAGAGCAAGCTGATGCCGCTTGCTGCTCGGTGGCTATGCGCATGATACAAGGTAGCAGCTGTCAGCTCAACACCCTGCACCATCTGACAGACGTGATTCTTTGCGACAGGAAACGATGGCCACGCCTGACTTCGCAGAATCCGACGGGGCGCCAAGCATTGACTATGGCTGGATGCGATCCCTGTCGAAGGCGATGGAAGAGACTGAGCTTCCTGCCACGCTCTTGGATGCTGTACAACCTCTGGAGCGCTTTCCTGAGATCGACATGGACATCTTGACGTTTGTGGTGAAGTCCAAGAGCTCTGAGTGGCAGGAGGTGCTTCACGACCCGCAACACTTCAACCTGCCCCAATCTTACCGCATCGACTTTGCCGTGTGCATCCACGTATACACGCTGAGTGACCCTCCGGTCTTTGCAATCATCAACCGTGAGATGTTCAACCGTGATCGTCGCCAGGTGGGAGGTGGTCGCAGTATCTCACCGGCACTTGGTGCGTGTCTGCCCTACATCAAGTTTTTACGAGAGGCCCTGAGAGCGTTGCCCCAAAGGTTCAAGTACAAGGGTGAAGCTCGACGGGGAGTCAAGTGGGTCTATCCCTCGCCAGACCATCACAATCCGACCAGCCATTTCAAGACAGGGCGAAAACTGATGTGGTATGAGTACAAATCCACAAGTAAGGAGCCACAGGTGATGACACGTGTGAACTTCTGCGGGATCAACGCAGGACCGCGCACCATCTTCATAATCGATGTCTTGCATGGCTACTGGATCGAGAGCTTCAGTCTTTTTCAGGGTACCGATAGCGAGTATGAAGTGCTTCTACCCCCTCTTAGCACGTTCGAGGTAGTTTCTACTTCAAAGAATATCATCGATCCGAAGGAAACCTCTTTGCTTGAGAAAAGCGGGTTCCCGGATGTGGTGCATTTGAAGCAGATCATGGGCGAGGAGGGCGAGCTTGAACAAGCGAGGAATCCATTGAGCATCCGGTCATATCTGCTTTTGCTGGGATCGTGGACTCAAACTTTGTGGTTTGTTTTGGTCCTGCTGGTAGCCAGGCTGGCAGCTAGGCTTTCTGGGCAGCAATGCTTTGTAAAAAGCAATGCTTTTTCGGCAGCAATACTTTGTTTTTTGGCAATAATTCTAGCAGCAGTCCTGTTCGCATCCATAAAACTCCACCACGACGTAGCTGCTCTGGTACACGAGATGAAAAAGCATCGTAAACATGAAGGTATTCAAAAGCAAGGGTGTGAGACAATGCGAATTCTTGCCGTCAATGCCGACAACATGGTCAAGATAGCGAGGCTCGGTGGGATGGAAGCAATCCTCAAGGCTATGGAGCTGCACCCAGGCAGCAAGGAGGTGCAAGAGCACGGCTGCGGGGCGCTGCTGAACCTTGCCCTCAATGCCGACAACAAAGTCAAGATAGCGAGGCTCGGTGGGATGGAAGCAATCCTCAAGGCTATGGAGCTGCACCCAGGCAGCAAGGAGGTGCAAGAGCAGGGCTGCGGGGCACTACTGAACCTCGCTGGCAATGACGACAACAAGGTCAAGATAGCGAGGCTCGGTGGGATGGAAGCAATCCTCAAGGCTATGGAGCTGCACCCAGGCAGCAAGGAGGTGCAAGAGCAGGGCTGCGGGGCACTGGGGAACCTTGCCTTCAATGACGACAACAAGGTCAAGATAGCGAGGCTCGGTGGGATGGAAGCAATCCTCAAGGCTATGGAGCTGCACCCAGGCAGCAAGGAGGTGCAAGAGCAGGGCTGCGGGGCACTACTGAACCTCGCTGGCAATGACGACAACATGGTCAAGATAGCGAGGCTCGGTGGGATGGAAGCAATCCTCAAGGCTATGGAGCTGCACCCAGGCAGCAAGGAGGTGCAAGAGCAGGGCTGCGGGGCACTACTGTTCATCGCTGGCAGTGACGACAACAAGGTCAAGATAGCGAGGCTCGGTGGGATGGAAGCAATCCTCAAGGCTATGGAGCTGCACCCAGGCAGCAAGGAGGTGCAAGAGAAGGGCTGCGGGGCACTGGGGAAGCTCGCTGGCAATGACGACAACATGGTCAAGATAGCGAGGCTCGGTGGGATGGAAGCAATCCTCAAGGCTATGGAGCTGCACCCAGGCAGCAAGGAGGTGCAACAGCACGGCTGCGGGGCACTGCTGAACCTCGCCGTCAATGCCGACAACATGGTCAAGATAGCGAGGCTCGGTGGGATGGAAGCAATCCTCAAGGCTATGGAGCTGCACCCAGGCAGCAAGGAGGTGCAATTTTGCGGCTGCTGGGCACTGGGGAACCTTGCCCTCAATGACGACAACATGGTCAAGATAGCGAGGCTCGGTGGGATGGAAGCAATCCTCAAGGCTATGGAGCTGCACCCAGGCAGCAAGGAGGTGCAAGAGCACGGCTGCTGGGCACTACTGAACCTTGCCCTCAATGCCGACAACAAGGTCAAGATAGCGAGGCTCGGTGGGATGGAAGCAATCCTCAAGGCTATGGAGCTGCACCCAGGCAGCAAGGAGGTGCAAGAGAAGGGCTGCTGGGCACTACTGAACCTCGCTGGCAATGCGGACAACATGGTCAAGATAGCAGGGTTCGGTGGGAAGGAAGCATTCCTCAAGGCTATGGAGCTGCACCCAGGCAGCAAGGAGGTGCAACAGCAGGGTTGCGGGCACTGCTGAAGCTCGCTGGCAATGACGACAACATGGTCAAGATAGCGAGGCTCGGTGGGATGGAAGCAATCCTCAAGGCTATGGAGCTGCACCCAGGCAGCAAGGAGGTGCAAGAGCAGGGCTGCGGGGCACTGGGGAACCTCGCTGGCAATGCCGACAACATGGTCAAGATAGCGAGGCTCGGTGGGATGGAAGCAATCCTCAAGGCTATGGAGCTGCACCCAGGCAGCAAGGAGGTGCAAGAGCGCGGCTGCGGGGCGCTGCTGAACCTCGCTGGCAATGACGACAACATGGTCAAGATAGCCAGGCTCGGTGGGATGGAAGCAATCCTCAAGGCTATGGAGCTGCACCCAGGCAGCAAGGAGGTGCAACAGCACGGCTGCGGGGCACTGCTGAACCTCGCCGTCAATGCCGACAACATGGTCAAGATAGCGAGGCTCGGTGGGATGGAAGCAATCCTCAAGGCTATGGAGCTGCACCCAGGCAGCAAGGAGGTGCAAGAGCAGGGCTGCTGGGCACTACTGAACCTCGCCTTCAATGCCGACAACATGGTCAAGATAGCGAGGCTCGGTGGGATGGAAGCAATCCTCAAGGCTATGGAGCTGCACCCAGGCAGCAAGGAGGTGCAAGAGAAGGGCTGCGGGGCACTGGGGAAGCTCGCTGGCAATGACGACAACATGGTCAAGATAGCGAGGCTCGGTGGGATGGAAGCAATCCTCAAGGCTATGGAGCTGCACCCAGGCAGCAAGGAGGTGCAAGAGCGCGGCTGCTGGGCACTGGGGAACCTCGCTGGCAATGCCGACACATGGTCAAGATAGCGAGCTCGGTGGGATGGAAGCAATCCTCAAGGCTATGGAGCTGCACCCAGGCAGCAAGGAGGTGCAAGAGCAGGGCTGCGGGGCGCTGCTGAACCTCGCTGGCAATGCCGACAACATGGTCAAGATAGCGAGGCTCGGTGGGATGGAAGCAATCCTCAAGGCTATGGAGCTGCACCCAGGCAGCAAGGAGGTGCAACAGCACGGCTGCGGGGCACTGCTGAACCTCGCCGTCAATGCCGACAACATGGTCAAGATAGCGAGGCTCGGTGGGATGGAAGCAATCCTCAAGGCTATGGAGCTGGCCCCAGGCAGCAAGGAGGTGCAAGAGAAGGGCTGCGGGGCACTGGGGAAGCTCGCTGGCAATGACGACAACAAGGTCAAGATAGCGAGGCTCGGTGGGATGGAAGCAATCCTCAAGGCTATGGAGCTGCACCCAGGCAGCAAGGAGGTGCAAGAGCAGGGCTGCTGGGCACTACTGAACCTTGCCCTCAATGCCGACAACATGGTCAAGATAGCGAGGCTCGGTGGGATGGAAGCAATCCTCAAGGCTATGGAGCTGCACCCAGGCAGCAAGGAGGTGCAAGAGCAGGGCTGCTGGGCACTACTGAACCTCGCCTTCAATGCCGACAACATGGTCAAGATAGCGAGGCTCGGTGGGATGGAAGCAATCCTCAAGGCTATGGAGCTGCACCCAGGCAGCAAGGAGGTGCAAGAGCAGGGCTGCTGGCACTGCTGAACCTCGCTGGCAATGACGACAACATGGTCAAGATAGCGAGGCTCGGTGGGATGGAAGCAATCCTCAAGGCTATGGAGCTGCACCCAGGCAGCAAGAAGATGCAAGAGCACGGCTGCGGGGCACTGGGGAACCTCGCTGGCAATGCCGACAACATGGTCAAGATAGCGAGGCTCGGTGGGATGGAAGCAATCCTCAAGGCTATGGAGCTGCACCCAGGCAGCAAGGAGGTGCAAGAGCAGGGCTGCTGGGCACTACTGAACCTCGCCTTCAATGCCGACAACATGGTCAAGATAGCGAGGCTCGGTGGGATGGAAGCAATCCTCAAGGCTATGGAGCTGCACCCAGGCAGCAAGGAGGTGCAACAGCACGGCTGCTGGGCACTAACTGAAGCTCGCCGTCAATGACGACAACATGGTCAAGATAGCGAGGCTCGGTGGGATGGAAGCAATCCTCAAGGCTATGGAGCTGCACCCAGGCAGCAAGGAGGTGCAAGAGCAGGGCTGCTGGGCACTGGGGAACCTTGCCCTCAATGCCGACAACAAGGTCAAGATAGCGAGGCTCGGTGGGATGGAAGCAATCCTCAAGGCTATGGAGCTGCACCCAGGCAGCAAGGAGGTGCAAGAGCAGGGCTGCTGGGCACTACTGAACCTCGCCTTCAATGACGACAACATGGTCAAGATAGCGAGGCTCGGTGGGATGGAAGCAATCCTCAAGGCTATGGAGCTGCACCCAGGCAGCAAGGAGGTGCAAGAGCAGGGCTGCGGGGCACTACTGAACCTCGCTGGCAATGCCGACAACATGGTCAAGATAGCGAGGCTCGGTGGGATGGAAGCAATCCTCAAGGCTATGGAGCTGCACCCAGGCAGCAAGGAGATGCAAGAGCAGGGCTGCGGGGCACTGCTGAAGCTCGCTGGCAATGACGACAACATGGTCAAGATAGCGAGGCTCGGTGGGATGGAAGCAATCCTCAAGGCTATGGAGCTGCACCCAGGCAGCAAGGAGGTGCAAGAGCAGGGCTGCGGGGCACTACTGAACCTCGCCGTCAATGCCGACAACATGGTCAAGATAGCGAGGCTCGGTGGGATGGAAGCAATCCTCAAGGCTATGGAGCTGCACCCAGGCAGCAAGGAGGTGCAAGAGCAGGGCTGCTGGGCACTAACTGAAGCTCGCCGTCAATGACGACAACAAGGTCAAGATAGCGAGGCTCGGTGGGATGGAAGCAATCCTCAAGGCTATGGAGCTGCACCCAGGCAGCAAGGAGGTGCACTTGGGAGCCTCGGTGATTTGTGGTGTGAATCGTTGGTGGTAAGATTTTAGAATCAGGTAGCTCAGTCGGTAACCCTGAGGCTATTCTTCCTACATGCTGATTGCCAGCTCGTTTATACCTCACCAGAGCCGCTATGTCATTGATCCCACAGACCCTTCCAGCACTGAGGTTAATTTACCTCATATACGTGTCTTGAATTGCCTCCTATCTTCCATCCAGCCCTTACACTGATCGCACCAACGGACCAGCGGTGTTTCCGGCGGCACTGTTTTGCACGCCTCCTTTACGAATACTGTGTGATCCTGTTTATCCTGTTTCATCATTCAGACTGATTCACGGTCCTCCATTCCACTTCCTCCAAGTGTTCACACCTGAGTCTCCCACATGCTGACCCTTTTCATCGAGTGCCTGCTGGGTATCATGGTCCTTCAGTACTCGCTAGCAGAAAAGCTTGCGGAATCGTTCATATTGGCTTTGACCTCTCCGGCAAGAGCTTGACGAAAAGAAGGTGAATGTATAGGTATCACTTGCAGCAAGTATACCTGGAAACAGTTTACCACAAGCTGCAGTATGATTCGCTCTATAGATCAGCCAATAAATACCTGTATCTTCAGTTATCACATACTAGTAAGGCAACAAGGACACTGACCTAAAGCCATGAACGGGCATAATTTTGATAGAAATGTATTGGTCGATGGCAAGGGCAGTTTCACCTGTTCCATCCGACCGGAAAGAGAATTATGTATTATGACACCGGCGATCGGTATGAGGGGACGATGAGCTATGGGAAGAGAGAGTCCGAGACTAAGGGAAACTTTATCAAGGGAACCTACTTCTTCGCCAACGGATCCAAGTACCAAGGGCAGCACTCCAAGGATATGTTCCACGGCAAGGGCAAGTACTGGTTTCCCAACGGGTCGTCGTTTGAGGAGAAGTGGCAGAAGGACACGACCATCATCTCGAACCATGAGTTCAAGAATGGCAGCGTGTACAGCGGCAGCGTGAGGAAGGGGAGGCTGGAAGGGGAGGGGGTGCTGCTGTTTCCCGATGGTGACGAGTACCAAGGAGTCTGGCAGCGCGATCACTTTCATGGGAAGGGAGTATACCGCAGCAGGTGGGGGGACTGGTACGAAGGAACGTTTGCGGAGGGAGGAAAGGACAAGTTGGGGTCGAGAGGAGAGGAGGGAGCAGGGAAAGGACTGGCTTCGCTGACTGATGGTGATGTGTATTACGGGTCTTTCAACGCTGGTGTGCCCGACGGTAAAGGGAACGTGCTGTTTGCCGATGGAGGCATGTTGGAGGCGACCTTCGAGCATGGGAAATGCGTGGGGAGACGAACGTTTGCCAACGGTGATGTGTACGAAGGAGAGTTCAGGATGAATGAGTCGCATGGCGAGGAAAGCTTCACATTCAGGGACGGGAAAGTCTGCACAACAACGTTCGATTCCGCGTCCTTTTCCTTCGAGCGGAGGAACGGGAAGGTGCTCGAGTCAGGCGTGCACCGGAATGGGATACTGCACGGGCCAGAATGCCGAGTCACGGAGAAGGAGAGCTACTCGGGGGAGTTCTACCAGTCGCTCTACTACGGGAGGGGGACGCTGGAATTGGCAGAAAGGAATCTCAAGTACGAGGGGGAGTTTGTAGCGGGGAAGTTTGGAGGATACGGCAAGCTCCTCTACGGTCTTCATCCTCCTGGGCTGGACCCCGAGAGCGAGGAAGCGAAGTGCTACGGGGTCAGCGCGAAGCTCCCCGGGTGTGGGGTGCTGCCGGTCCATGCACGAACTCCCCTTCGTACTCACACCCTTCGAGAGCTACGTTGGGGAGTTTGATGAGGACATGTACCATGGGAAGGGGTTGTGGACTTGCCATACCGACTCCACAGCATGGAGTGCGGGGAGCAGCTACGAGGGGGAGTGGGTGTGCGGGAGGAGGGAGGGGATGGGAAAGTACGTGAGCGATGTAGAGTACACTTATCGGGAGGAAACGGCATCTACAGCGGGGAGTTCTTCCTGGACCTGCGGCATGGGAAGGGAGCGATGAGATATGACTACGGGGGCGTCTACGAAGGAGAATGGAAGCTGGGGAGGAGAGAGGGGAGGGGGACGGAAGTTTTTATCTCGGGGGGAGATGTACTTCTCCTCTGCTGGGTACATCGATCCTCTCCCCCCCAGCTCGTTAGGATGCACGTCCCCCCTGCTGAGAGCAACTGACCCTGAGAGCCGAGCCAAGGACATGGGTGAGACGATTCTATCCTCTTGTTACTTGGGGTTGAGGTGGAGATGAGATGTAAGGAGAAGCAGGGGGGGAGAGCGAGGAGGGGGTTATGGAGGAGGAAGAAGAATGACGAGGAGGGGGAGGAGAAGGAAGAGGGAGGAAGAGCACGAGCAGGAGGAGGAGGAAGAGGAGGAAGAGGAAGGAGGAGCACACGAGGAGGAGGAGGAGGCAGCACGAGGAGGCAGCACGATTGAGAATCAGAGAGGGAGGAGGGAGGGGCAAGAGGGGCGAGTGAGGTTGATGCAGGTCTTTTGAGAGAGAGGTTGTTGCACGCCGTCGGAGAAGTTCTTGAGGGAGAGAAGACAAACATGCAGCGAGGAAGTCAACATGAGACTTCTGCCGCCTTCATCGCCAATTTGGTGAGCCACGGTGTTCATCTTGTGCTGGGGAGTGTTGCTAGTTGTCAGCGATCTGCTGTGAACATGTGAAGCTGTCGAGTTGCTCCTTTCCTGTCCTGTCGTTGAGTTCTCTCTTAGGAATCGATTCTCAAGGACCTTGAGAGCCCTGGCCAGCCAAGTGAAACAGCAGAGGAGCCTCCTGACCCCGACAAGTCCGACGGCAAAGATTTAGAGTGGAAGGTTGAATCTATGACACTCTCGCCGTTCCCCTCCTCACCCTCCTTTCCCCCTTCTCGCTTTTCCTCTCTCCCACTCTCCCCTTTTCTTCTTTCGCCTTCCTACCTCCTCCCCCTCCTCTACCGCGCTCTCCTCTTCTTCCCCCTCAGCCTCTCACTTCCACCCTCCTTCTCCGATCTTTTTCTCCCCCCGGCCTCTTCCCTTCAATCCTCCACTCAACCTCCCCCCTCCCGCCCTTTCGTCCACCTTCCACTGTCGCCCAACTATCCTCCCTCTTTCCTCTCGTCTCCTCCCCTCCCTTCTCCTCCTCCCCACCTCATCTCTTACGCGTCTTCCAACAGGAGGAGGAGCTCGCCAGGATCCGCAGCGCTCCAGCAGGTTAGCAGCAGCTAACAGCTTCCTAACTGCAGTCGTCTGGGACATCCTCCCGCAAGACACGAAACTCGCTCTCTCCTCCAGCCTCGCGTGTCGTCAGACCGTCAAGCATGTTCTCGCCGTCCTCCAGTTCTCCTCCTTCCCCCGCGTCGTCTCCTGGTACTCTCCAAGAAGGACAGGGATGGGTCAGAGCTGCAGCTGCTGCTGCAGCGACGGCGGCGAAGGCGAAGGCGGCGGCAGTAGCAGAAACCCTCAGCTGTCCACCCTGCCCTCAGTGGTATCCTGGTTCATGTTGCCTGTCAAACAGTCTCTCGAAGCAGCAGTGGAAGAGCAGGGGCAGGGGCAGGGGCAGGGGCAGGATCTCAAGCGGTTTCTCGAAGGCTACACGGCGCTGGCGCAGGGGATGTACGAAATGACGAGAGAGGAGCCTCCTCTGGTGCTCCTGGGGGGAGCAGGAGAAAGTGAAGACGCTGCGGTAGGAGGAGGAGAGAGGAGCCGGTGCTTGCACGGCAGTTAACGATGATGATGCAGGTGCTGAAGGCTTGCCTGTGACGGAGACTGTGGATGAAGATGCCGTCAGTGACAACATGGATGGGGTTCGCTCTGCCAGCGACAAAGAGGATGAGAGGAGGAGCATTGAGAGTGTCTGATTCAGATAGGGAAGTAAGTGAGTTGTGGTTCGGAGACAGCAGCGCAGATGTGAAGATTTGAAGAATGTGACGATGTGAGCTTTTGGAAAGAGGGTTTATTCTCTTGATGTCATGCTCGAATAAAACAAGTGATTTGTTATCCCGTGTCCTTGCAGGGAGTGCTACGTGCGAGCAGTGAATTGGAGGTAGGGGAAGGGGAAATGGATGGACGTGGTAAGCACATGGTTCCAAGCAACTCGAAATTCCCTTTGCGGGTGCCGACGAGGAGCATGTTCATGTGGTGGAATATAGGAGAGGTCATAATTGATGAAACAGGTCAAGTGCGGAGGATTCGGCCATTCAAGTACCTTGGACTTGCACGGTACTGGGATGACATAACAGACTACAACACAAGGAGGAACATCAACAAAGCGAGGGTGGTCATGAATGAAGTGGAGATTTTGTGCTTCATCACAGACGTAGAACGAAAAACTCCGATTACCCCCTTCCTTGAAACATCCCCGCCCTCTCACTCAAAACTTTGAGTTGATTGTGCATGAAGATTTTCGAACGCTTGTCTGCTCACGCATGAGCACAAAGCGAGAGCTGGAACAGAGTGATGTTGAGATGTGCCCTAGGCTGATGGCAGCATGTTGGCGCTCTTGGTGAATTGCGCACCACCAGCAAGGTGTAAAAGATGAGACAGGAAATGTTCAGAACTTTTGGGGGGACAGCAAGAGTGCAAGGCTTTGGGGGGGGGGGGGGAGCACTTGAGAACGTTTAAGGGGGGAGGGGGGGGGAGGGCGGGGGAGACTCCGGACGTAGAAGAAGATGTCTGCGGCAGCAAGAGAAGAAATAATTTACAGAATACAAGATCCCCACGCTGTGACGACCGGTTGTCATCGCCCCAGTCGAACATACCGGTTCAGAAACGCCCCGTCCTCGTCGTCCTGCCCCGTCATCATCCGCACCGTCGTCCCTCTCCACCTGCGATCTCCGTCATGGGGAGAGGGGCAGGGGCAACGACGTCACGCACTCGCGCTCGCGCTCTCTGGAGAGGCGGAGGAAGGGGTCCTCTGCCGGCAGCGCTCTTGAGTCGTCCACCTCGTCCCCGTCCTGATGACTGGAGCGTCAGGTCCTCAGAAATGGAGCGAAGAGTTTCACCTCCATCGTCCTGTCGTCCAGGACCGTCCGAAACGACTGTCGGCCGGAAGCTGAGAATGCGGGTTTACAACATGCCAGGAAGGTGACAAGGGTGGTAGCAGGGAGTAAGAGCTGGGTAGGCGACAAGGCGAGAAGGCAACGCTTACAGGAAGTTGGACGAGCGGCTGACAAGTCTGCTCTGGGGTTTGTCTCTGCGCTGTCAGAGCTGAGCTCTCCACTCGCTCTGTGCTCATCGTCTCCAGCTGCCTTAGCCTGCGACTCCTCTGCCTGCCCTCTGAGAGGATGCAGCCGGATCCTCCGCGAGCTCGAAGGAGCGTTCTGAGACTCTGGCGCAGCCGAAATGCCCGAGCGAGGCCTGCTGGGCAGGTTGTAGCGATCCCTCAAGGCCTGTCTCCCATCTTGGCTGCTCCTGGTGGGGTTGGGGTTCCTGGCGTACTCGTGGCTGGCCGTGTTCCTCTCGATTAGTGCTGAACGTCCCTGCCCGAGCCTGAGATCAGCTGGGCAGGAACGATAAGGGAAAGCGGTTTGCCTGGATCCGGTGGCGGTATCGGAGGACGCCTGTGCTCCTGTCCTGGTTCTGCCACGAGCTCTCGGACGATCCTCCGCTGCTTCCCCGTGGGTTGGCGAGAGAAGGGAAGCGGAGGTCGTCAGGAGGAGAAGCCTGCATGGAGATAAGACGGCGATCAAGACTATGCATGTGCGCACTTGATGTTCTCGCTGCGCTCCAGGGCGGTTCAGACGATCTTCTGGTCGGGAAGGACTTGACTCTGAAGAAACTGAGAGTAAGTGCTCGCTGCTCCTCCCCCGCGCCTCTCTCTCCATCCCCAGCTCCTCCCCAGCTCCAGCTCCTGCAACCTGAGTTGGCCGTCCTTGCATCGTAGATCTGAGCGGCGGAGGCGATGACCTCCCTGGGACGGCCTGGTGAGCGGGGGCGAAGGGACAGAGGTCGAGGGCATCACCGAGAAGTCTGCAAGCACTTGTTGATTAAATCTCTCTTCTCCAGACAGTCTGCCCACTGAGGTCAGGCGAGAGACCCCGGGGCCAGGGGTCTCGTGCAATCACCATGGTGGGCAATGCCAGCAGCGTCCAGGACGCCCTTGAGCTTCCTCACGCTCCACAGCCTGAAGAAGGGAGGAGTTTGGTCAGCTATCTAGCAGACGCAGAGCTCGTCTCGCTCAGCGCTGATGACCTCGGGTCCTGGTCTTGCGCTGCTGTGGAGCATCGTCACCACTCCTCCACCTACCCGCGACAGCTCATCCTTACCTCTCAGACTGTCGGTCTCGACCTCCGCGTCGTCTCGGTGCACCTGCCCCCCCCCCTCTTATCATCGCGCTCCTCGTCCTCGCCCACCGCCAGTTCTCACATGCTGCGTTCTCGTCGAGGTTGGCAGCTGCCGCCGATGGTGGGAGGGAACTGGGCGAGTGCTGTCTCTGCTCTGACTGTGCAGGAAACCCCTCCGCATCCCGAAGATGGGATGGTGACCCTCCTGGCTCTCCCCTTCTTCCCGCAGCTCCGCAGCGGAGTAGGAGGAAGGAGCCGCTGCTCGGGGAGGCGTCGACACTGAGGCGCTGCCGGAGGATGTGGACGGAGCTCTCACTTCCTCCTGCGGCTCACGGGTCTTGCGGGCCTCGTACTCGGTGTCATCCGTCGGGAGCTCGAACCTGCACAGGGGGCAGCTGGAAGCGAAACAAATGGTGAGCAGGAGACGGGAAGGGGAGGGTGCGGAGAGGAGCTGCACCGCAGGAACGTCAGCACGGTACCTGTTGGTCTGCTTCAGCCAGGGAAGGATGCAGTCTTGGTGGAAGAAGTGCCCGCAGGTTATTTGCATCACTTCATCCCCCTGACGCAACAGGGTCGGTTGCGCGAGGAAGGAGCAAACAGCAAACAGCGTCACCATCTCGAAATCCGACAGGCAGATGGAGCAGCTCTGCCGCCCTCCCTTCTCCCGCTGAGTCTTGGGGGTCCACCTCAGCTTCAACATCCTCTCGAGGACCTGCGAAGAAGCAGGAGGCGCCTGCCTGCTCTCAGACTCTGCCAGCGATCTCGAAATCGCCTGGAGGACCCGTCACTGCCCTTGCCCACGGCTCGCTCCTCTCCTCCTAACAGGCCCACCTCCATCAGCTCGTGGTCCTCACTGAGAATGTTGCTGGCGCTCCTCCGCATCTCAGCGATGATCCTGTCGGCGGCAAGAGACAGCTGCGAGCAGGCGTCACTCTCCAGCTACCGCGAGCAGCGTCAGGCACATGATCCCCGTCGATGCTGTTGGAGAGCTGCGCCAGCACAAACTGCCTCAACACTTCCTCGGTCATAACGAGGCCCGTGGGCGTCACAAACACTTGCGGCCTCGTCACCTGCAGGGGCTTTCAGCGCTGCCGGTCAGTGAGCCGCCGCCTCCTACCCTCTCCGATCGATGCTCCAGAGGCCCTCCGCATCGTGAGCACCGGTCCTGCGGTCCTTCGCCCGGGCTGACCCGCAGCGAGACGCCGCAGGCCGGGCAATAGTATGCGTCCACCAGCGACGAGGCTGCTCCCATGCCCTTCTTAACCGAACTCGGTCCTGTGGGAGGGCATGCTGCAGGCAGGCAGAGGAGATGGAGCACACAGCAAGTTAGAATCCAAGTGTTCGCAGAGAAATGTGCTTTCGGACTGATTGGACTACCGATCAGGCAACCAGCAAATCCCTGCCCCTCCCTCCCTCCCTATATCAACTTGCTCCCTCCCTCAACTTCTATTGCTACCTCGCCCCTCATTCACTCCCTCTCTTCCTACCTCATCCATCTCTGACTCTCCCACTCGCTCCCTCCCGTTCTCTTGCTGTTCATCGCGATTCCACTGCATTACTGCAATCCACGATCGCGACCTTCCTCCAACACACCACTCAAACCGTCCCCTCCTGATCCTTCCATCGTCTCTCGAAGATATCTTCCCATCCTCCTGCCGCTATCCCAACATCACTGAGCCCCTTTCGCGCCCACCCCTGCATGACGTTGCCATTGGAATTGCCGTTGCAGTGTAACGGCGCAATACAACACCGTGCACTGGGCTGGGCGGCCGGGGCCCGGGCGGGCCCGGCCCGGCCGGCAATGACGAGGATGACTACTACCGTAGTACTGAACGGAAGATGATCTTAAACCGATCAGACAGCCAGGGGTGGGGGGGGTTGCCGCAGTCACCCCCTACCCTACTAACCTGGGCCACGGTACTATATTATACCGTAGTACCCGGTGACCGGTCAGATCTTGTGGCGAATCTAGCGTTGGTCTCTCCCGTATGGGACGCGGTGGAGCTGGCGTCTGACCTGTTATCTCTGATGTCTTCCGACCGTGACAATCCAGCTGCAATGCCTGAGAATCAGGCAGATTACGTGATGACAGCGGCTTGCGATGCAGGAAATGTGGAGAACGAAAGTAGTTTTGACAAGTTACCAGATCCCAAGACAAGGTCAGAGATGTTACGTCGTCCGGATCGGCATCTTTGGGAGCAGGCTGAAAAGGAGGAAATTGCGAAGATCGAAAGTCGTGGGGTCTGGGAAGTTGTTACGCGTGATCAGAAAAACAGGGAGTCAAATCATTCCGTCCTTGCTCGCGCCTTGTGGGTGTATGCTTCAAAACGAGACTTGAAGGGCAAGATCTTGAAACGAAAGGGGCGGCTAGTTATCATGGGCAACTTACTTCCTTCATCTGAAGAATTGTTTGCACCGACTACATCGTTGGACAATATCCGGCTCTTGCTGAGCATCGCGGCAGGCAACCGTTGGAGAATCACATTCAGGGATATCTCTGCTGCTTTCTTGTATGGTGACTTGGAGGTTCCTGTGTATTTGATTCCTCCAGATATCATGAGTCTTCCTCCTGAGTGCCTCCTCAAAGTCTTGAAGTCGCTCTATGGACTTCGCATTGCACCAAGGAGATGGTATCTTAAGTTCACGCAGGTGTTGAAGACGGTGGGAGCAAGTGGGATAGGACATGATGAGATCATCTACCGATACTCCAACTGTGCGGGGGACGTCTTGCTTCTGACTGTCTTCGTGGATGACTTACTCATTGTCTCTCAAACTGAAGCAGTTAAGATTGAGTTTCTTGAGAAGCTCAACACAGTATTCGACTTTTCAGGGAGTGAGGCAACCGGTACCTTCTTGGGCATTAAAATAGAACAGAATGACGATCAGGGTCGGATAACTTTGTCACAACAGCATTTCATTGAAAAGATTGTTGAACGCTTTGAAATCGTTGCCAGAGGTGTCAAAACGGTATTACCTGGTCACTATCTCAAGACTTATCACTTGGAGGGTAAGTTGTTGAACAAGAAGGAAGTCCGCACTTATCAGAGTCTTCTGGGGTCCATTCTCTACGTGGCAAATTGTACGCGGGTTGATATCGCATTCGCGACGAGCGTCCTTAGTCGCTTTGCTCGGGCTCCTAGGCAGTGCGATATGGATGCCTTAATTCATCTTCTACAGTACCTTTACACTACTCGGGAGGTTCAGATCGTATACCATTGTCACGGAGTATCTTACCACCAGGAGTGTTTTGTCAATGAGATGATTGCATTCAGTGATGCTGGTTGGGGTACCGAGATTATTACGAGACGGAGTCAAAGCGGATATGGAATCGTTCTGAATGGTGGGGTAGTCGTCTTTGGTTCAAAAATGCAGAAGGTTGTTGCCCTGAGTTCTTCAGAAGCTGAAATTTATGCTGCCACCACATGCGCGAAACTAGTCAAGCTTTATAGAAATCTCTTGGGTCAGATGGGATTTACGCAGACTCGTCCTACTCTCTTGCTAATCGACAATGAACCATGTCTGAGGCTTTTGTGGGACAAGCGAAGTTATAGTCGACTCAAACACATTGATATTCGAACGAAGTATGCTGTTGATTTGGTAGAAAAGGACGAGCTCTATCCAGAAAAGATTCATACTTCTTATCAGCCTGGTGATTTGCTGACGAAAGTTCTGCCTTTGAATCGGTGGAGGCTCCTTGGTGAATTTCTCTTCGGAGACCCCTTACCGGATATGCTGCTCTGAGGATGCTCGCCTGTCATGCTCTCTGCGCTTCATGCTCTCTGCGTTTCTGTCAGGGACAGTGCTACTCTGTTCCCATGCCGTCAGTCGTCAAAGTTGTATGCCCCGTGTGTGATTGACGGTGATCCGAGCTCCAGTCTCCGACAAGGAGATTCAACCGATCCTGCTGCGGTGGCTTCCAGGCTTTATCTTCCGTCTTTTCTCCGATTCAGGGAGGGTTTCTCGGACCCTTGCCACCGAGTCCGTGTCGCTCGAGAATTGTCAGTCTTCCGTCTTCTATCCGATTCAGGGAGGGTGTCTCGGGTGATGTCACCGAGGAGACTCTCATGGAGAACGTGAAGGAATCGGATGAATCGGAAGGAGGATAAAGACAGACACGTCTTCCTCAAGCCTGTGGCTAGCTGCAACCAAGACATCTGTTCTAGGTTAGTATCTTAGAAACTCGCTCATCCTGATCTATGGAACCCATGACGGTAGTGAACGATGAAATTGAATGGCCAAAAATGAAAATTGAGAAAGAAATGACGGATGAGTCGAGATCGATAAGTCATGTGGTTGAAATGAAAGCGCTGACGTCAAAAATGATTGTGCCTTGGCAAAACAATGATCCCCGGGGTAGATAGGATAGAAAGGGCCCATAGATTAGAAACGAGAAAATTGTGTTCAAAACAATCAGAGATCAATCAATGCATTGCAAGAATTCTGAACCTGATCTCTGGAGCTTGATTGGAATTCTAAATTCTTGGCATCATCAATGGGTGGAGATGTCTTCATTGCTCAATGCGCAAGCTTCAGAGAGGTCACATGATGACCAATCCCATCATGAGGATCAGGTTGAAGAGGTGGAGGAGCTGTCTGACTTGAAAGATGCAGATGTGTTCAGGACTTAGTCTTGAGCTGACACTGCAGGCAGCTGGGAAGAGTTTATGATGGAAGGTGAGGAGGAGCACAGGTGCATGCGGACAGCGCAGGCGGATGAGGAGAGTCTCTGTGGCATGCGGATGGTACAAGCTGAGGAACCCGAGTGCACGAGCATCAGGATGCGCTAGAGGAGGACAGCGCAGGTGCTGCAGGAGTGCTGCTGAAGCGCAAGCGCTGGAGGAGCAGCGCAGGCCCTACGATGGTGGGGAGAAGCCGCAGCGCAGGTGGAGGAGCAGCACAGGTGCACTGTTGGCGGGGTGCGACCGCACTGCATCCGCAGCGCAAGCGGAGGAGGAGCGCAGGTGTCACAGGAGGAGAAACGCAGGTGCACCAGGGTGCACACTTGAAGCGAAGGAGGAGCGCAGGAGGCATGCAAGATGGGGGATGAGCCTGTGCAGAACGGTTGATGGAGTGGTAGCAGCAAGATGACCTTGGAGAGGAGAGCAGCATGGAAGTCAGCTTGGGAAAGATGTTGATGGTCAGGTGATGGGAGCAGCTGACAACGCTGCAAGAAGCTAGAGCGATCGTTGGAAAGGAGGACATCGCAGGGGACAGCTGCTTAGCTGTCAAGCAGATGATTTTGACAAGCTGAGAAGGTTGCAGACTTCTGACTTGCTTCCCAAAGGGAGGGTGTAAGAACTCAGGTTCTGACAAACCTCTCAGAAGTTCTTTCAGACGCGATAAGTTCAAGGGATGCGTCTAATCAGGTTGTGAACCAAGTGAAGCCTGCAGGTCCAAGCTAGTGGGCTGGAGCTTAGTCTATGACTTAGAAGATCCGGTTGGTTGGAGCCTGGGGAAGCTGAGGCGACGCCGGAGGAATCAAGAGGCGCCGGCTGTCGAAGAGGCAGCACTCGTACAGTGGTGGAAGTAAGGCGGTGGTGTGTGAAGGGAAGCTGTTTGGTTGGTCTTGCTGCTACGAGTGTTGGGAATAAAGTGCTGGGGATTGTTGGGAAGTTGATCTGAGTTATCTGAGGTGTTTGGTTGGCTGTGAAAGTCATTGGTGTCTTCGTGCGCACATCATCTGTGAGTCTTGGTCTTTGGACTTATCAGTCAGCTGTTGAGCTGTTCTACTAGTCATTCATCTGTGCACAGACTCTAGGAGTCAGGAATTGATTCCAATATTTACTACTAGCCGTTAACAGGTACGGTCGTCGGACGGGTCACCATCATCATTATCGGTGCCATTGCCAGGTACTTCACCACCTCCCTGCCAGGGAGTCCAGTGCGGCACCGTCGGGCACTGGAGGGGTCCCCCCGGGGGGTCGGAATAAAAGGCTTCATGTAAGGGTGGGGTACCGGGTGACTGGCCATTCAATTGGTACCGGTCGGCGATTGCCGGGGAGCGAAAGGTACCGTGCTAGCCGTACGGTAGTCAGAAGGGTGGGTACTGTAATGGTAGCCTCCACTGCAGTGCGGCAGGGGCCTGATGAGCCCCCGGCCGCACTCCGAGAGGGGGTGGGTCATGGTACACTAGGGGTGGGGTCATCAAGGTGTAGCAGTCTAGTAGACGGACCCGGCTCCAAAGTGCGATGGCGGAAAGAGAACACTGTCAAAATGAAGCCGCAACAATGGCAGAATCGCCGCCGTCAGTTCGCCGCAGCTGGTCGTGTTAGGGGCCATGGCTCAGGGCCTGGCAGAGAAGAAAGTGTGTAATCACGAATGACGGCATGGAAGGAAAGAGATAGTAGTCTGGCAGAAGTGAAAGTCTTATTCAGTGAGGGTGACGGCAGTGAGATTCAAACATGGTGAAATGCAGCATGGTGCAACCGTGTGATAGAGTTCTAGAACAGAAAAGGAAAAATGGAGCTCTTCTGTTCAACTTGGAGTTGAGGAGAAGTTCCTTGCTTCTGTATTTGAACATTTTAGATACACCGAAAGGCAGGGAAGAAAGGAAAAGGTACTTAGGTTTCCACACAATACCAAGAGGTATTGTCGTTCAAAATCAAATCCTTTCTTAGGAATGCAGTACCCGAAATTTTCACTCTTTGCTGACTCCCTTCGTCTGATGATCTTTTTTTTATTGCAGATCGTGAAGGAGTACACAAACAAGGAGTTTCAAGAGGCACGTCATGTTTGAATAGCTGAATCAACCAAGGCAGCGTGTACCTAAAGGGAAGGTTTTTTATTGAGACGGAATCGATACAATCAGGGCGACAGCACAAATCGGTCGGAAGGCAGAGCAATGAAAGGAATTCATAGCAACGAAAAATCTGGACAAAAAGGTCTGTTTTATTCCAGCAAGTGTCATATGGATGCAAACCTGCACGACAAGGACCTTGTGACCTGGTCTCGTTCTCCGCTCAACGAAGAATTCGTTCCTACTGGAGGCAGAATAGAGTGGAAGAACGGTCAGACAGAAATAGTGGTGCATGCAGGTATAGCGCAGAGCAAGCCATTCGACTTGTCCGTCACAGGAAATTGAAAGAGTCATGTTGAAGCCTGCGGATATTGCGACTAACTGCAATTCCCCCGATGCGATGATTATGTTATTGATTCCCAGTTGAAGAATGGTGTACTGATGTTTTAGAACGTATCCTTTGCATTGATAATAGAGAAGACCGATCGTATTCATATTTATTTGTTTTTATTCATGAATACAGCGCAACTGAAACTGAGGTTCAAGCAGCAAAGGCTGCAATGCATTTACATCAAGACACTACCAACAGCACCCAAATTATCCTCCAGATCTTTTATGCGCTGTTGCTTGTTTTCGTCGAAACTGTACCTTGACAGTGATGCTCTCCTTTCCTCCATGCAGAAATCCTCGTCGTCGTACACAAGATTCATTTGGGCTATGGGCGCTGAAGAAGCAGTGGCGCTCTCGCTCTGTCCTGCATCTTCTGGCGCATTTGTTTGCGTCTCTTCTGCTGACTTGGATGCCGAGCTCTGGGCCGCTGCAGCTTCAGGTTGGGCATAGGGTGCAGGTGGAGGTGCAGGAGCGGGAGGAGGAGTGGGCACGGGGGGTTGTTGGTAAGGAGGATATTGAGGATGTGGAGGGTAGGGCTGCCCAGGGGGAACAGGCGGAGCTCCGTATGGGTACTGAGGGTGTCCCATGTAGCCGTTCTGCAACAAAACTCGGCGTCAAGGCACTGGCACATACTCAGACCCCTCTCACCATCGGAGGAGGGTATGGCTGTCCGTACTGTCCGGGAGGAGGATATCCAGGCTGAGGAGGCCATCCAGGAGGCGCTCCCATGGGATACTGGCCCATCGGGGGTGCATACGGCTGCCCAGGAATCGCTCCTGGGGGGGCAGGGGGTCCTGGAGGACCAGGAGGGCCTGGTGGGAGTGGAGCACCAGGAGGAGGAGCGCCAGGAGGGAGAGGAGGCTGGGCGGCCCCTGCTCTATTCGGGTCCATTTCTTGGTTTTCAGCCTCTACAGGTTCAAATCAAACCACACGCGAGGCGGCAGGCCAAAGTCACCTTCGACCCCGTCCATTCCCACGACGTCGAAGCCGAACTGATCCCTTCCCTCCTTGGCGTTGGGCACCCGCGTGATCTCTTCCTTGTGGACATACAGGCAGTGCGTCTTGAGTGCCGTTGCCGTGTTGAGTTTCTTGTGGCATGTGTTGCACTGGAAATGTTTCGTCCTCTGCACAACCACAGTCACATGACGGAACACCAAGGGCGACGAGACCTGATGCTGCACTAGCGTTGTCTCGTCATCGAAAGTTCGCTCAGGTCCACAGTACCAGCTGAGAGGACGGGGTTAGATGTGAGCTCAAAGGATTCAGCGAGGCAGCAGCAGAGTCTAACTGATCTGCGTCTCGGGATCATCCCACATCACAAACAGGCTGTGCTTCATCGCTCGATGACAGAGGGAGGAAGAAGAGCACAGCAGAGGTCTCAAACAAGCATGTTTCATCAACACACAGCATGCTATCGGAAACGCGCCCTTCTGTTGTCTTTCCCTCGATGCCCTCACAGCAACAGGGGGTTGTTCTAGGAGGAGGATGTTTGTTCTAGTTGTCAGAGCTTGCATGCAGCAAGTCGTCCTCTTGCTCCTCCTCCCTTACCAGTATGGCTTCGATTCCTTTTTCCTCTTTCGCCCCATGGCGCCCGTTCTGACGCTCCTCGTGCCCTCCCCTCCTACTCAGGTCATGGGGGTAGTTTAATCAAGGGTGGGGGTACATGATCTATAGTGCGATCGTCCTTGAATGGCCACAGGTCAAGAGTATACCCAATTTTACATTTTGTCTACATATGAACTATGAGACCATACTGTATGTAGTTGCAACACACCCTTGTGATTGCAGGTTATGTTGTATGATGGGGTCTATCGTGAGGTGGTGGGGTATAAAACCAGCAGGGGGTTCAACAATGTGGTTCAGAGCGGGGATGCGGGCCAGTCGACCGCACTGGAGGCCCCTGGGGCCCGGGTGCCCGGCCGGCGGCGGCGGCGGCGGCCCAAGGCCTGAGGAGCCGCTGAGCCTGGCGAGCCGCCCTGACTCGCCTCGCCGTGAGGCGGCATCATCATCGCAGACTCGACCCGGTGCGGCCGCCCGGGGCCAGCCTCAGTCCACGGCCGCCCGGCGCCTGGGCCGCCCCGCCGAAGTGCCATGATGCCGCTATGCCGCCGCCCGCAGTCACGGTGCCGCAGAGGCTCCCCAGAGTCTATCCTTGGCAGTGTCTTTCAAGCCTTCGGGGCCGGGCCGGCCGACTCGAGTCCACGGGCCCGCCCGACCCGGCCCACTGCCGACTGAGACGGTGCAGTGCCGCGGTGTAACACATGCCGGCATGGTGGCCGGCCCCGGGTCGGATCCGATCATCATCGGACTCCGGAACGAGTGATGATTAGAGGAACGAAAGTTCCGGGAAAGCAGAACTTTGAGTGCAATATCAGGAACTTCTCGCAGGTTGTCAACTGACAGCATGATGCTGTCGCGAATGCGGCGGAGGAGCGCGGGGGAGGAGGAGGAGCGGAGGGGCAGAGAGACAGAAGAGCACGCGTGGAGACTGTCATGTGACCAGCACTCGAGGATCCTGATCGAAGTGGCAGCGCATGTCGCCTCCATCTACACCCTCCTGGTGGAGCTGTACGCCGTGACTTTCGATGTCCGGCCGCTGGCGACGTGGGTCATCGTCTTCTCGTGCATGGCCGACTCCATGCTGTCCGTCGACTTCATCGTCAGCTTCTTCACGAGCTACTGGTGGCTGTCGGGCGAGGGGGTGTGGAAGCAGGAGTTCGACCTCTCCAGGATCAGCTGGCGGTACCTGACTGGCTCCTTCCTCATTGACGTCTGGAGCATCTTTCCCGCACAGCTCCTGCTCAAGGTCGTCGACCCTCTCGGCATCATGGAGGACCCAGGCATCTCCATCATCCGCGTCCTCGAGGTGCTCAAGTGCCTCCGCTCCCTGCGAGCGTTCAAGCAGATCCACACCTTCCAGCACGCCACCGTCATTCACTCCAAGCGCGTCGAGAGCCTCTCAGCCGTGGTCCTCTTCCTCCTCCTCTGCCACTCTCTCGCCTGCATCTGGTTTTGGTTCGCCAGGGAGGAGGCCAAGGGCTCCACCCCGAGCTTCTTCAACAGAGACACCTGCACCAACCGGTAGGCTTGCCGTCCGGCGAGGAAGAGAGGGGAAGGTATGCTTGCGGATCGGGCGCTGACTACCCGCTGCTCTCCTTGCAGGCAGGCGCTCCTCGCCTCCTCGCAGAGCGTCCAGTACTCGTGCGCGCTGCTGTGGGCGTGCAGACCATGACGACCGTCGGAATGATATCTCCCCTCTCTCGG